ATGGCCTTGCATTTCCTGGAGCATGTGGTGACTGTCTTCCAGGTAGCTCCAGGTGGGTCTTTGTGGACAGCCTCATTACTGGCCACCATCTCTGTCTCCATTTCTTCTTCCTTCTTCTGGAGACGGTCCTGGCAGTAGCCATCAATGAAGTCTTCGTGGGCCCTGATGGTGGTAACTGGCATACCTCCTCCTCGAACTCCCGTACCCGGTCCTCCACAGGCTCCACTAGGGAGCACACCCCCCATGCCCAGCTGCCAGCAGCCATGCCAGGCAGCCCCCACAGTCCAGGGCCAGGGGCTCCATCTGGGTGGGGGGCAGGGCCATGGGCTCTGTCTGAGTGGAGATCTCAGGGGTGTTGGGATGCCTGTGGCCATGATGAATCACCACTATGGTTGAGAGCGACTTTACACCTCTACCTGGTCCCAGCAGCTCCTCTTTGGGCCTCTGACCTCAAGCTCCTTGCCTGGACCAGCCCTCTGGGCACCTTCTATATGCCCTCTGCACCAACTCCTGCATGGAGAGCTCTGTCACTTCCCATGCTTAAGTAAGAATCTTGAGGTTCAAAGCTGATGAGTACCCAAAACTTAGCGGGATCTTTCCTGTGGGTAAAATTACTTATGTAGGCTTCACAAAAAATTGTACCTGTTCATAATTTTGCATGCTCTGAGTTATTCCATGTATTCACAGTGCATAAAATGTGTAGCAGGTACAGTACTGGAACTCTGATGCATTGAAGGCACACTGAAATCACCAGTGAAGGGGTTAAACTAGAAGCCCTTGTGCAACAATGAGAGAAATGTTTTTCGTGTGAGTCTTTCTCAACTCTTAGCTGGCACTGTGCCCTCTCTCACAGGTAGAAACCCTACAGGATTATAGGGTTATAATACTTAAATCAAAGTCTTTATTTTAAAAACAAGATAGGCAAGCTAATGGAATTCCATGCTTGAGACTGGTTAAATAGTTTTGCTGGGGGGGTTTTCTTGTTATGCATGAAATACAGAGATTCTCCAGGCACTCAGCTCTCGGGGGGAAGTCAAAGCTGGCTAGATGATGGAGACAACTTCAGCTACTCCAAGATGATTCTTGGTGTTTATGAGGTTTGTGCCCAGTATTTACAGATTATGGATATTTTTTGGCCAGAAGCTGGAATCTAGAAGCCCAGGTTTCAGTGACAATTAATGCTTTTCTTAGCCTATGAACAATTCTGAATCTTCAGGCAGAAAGAAAAAATATAAAGGTGTGTGTGTAGAGGGGAAGGATTAGGTATAATGGAGTGTGTTGAAATTGGAGGACCATAAGAGACAAGAAACATTTGGAAGATCAGTCCAGAGTTTCTGCCCGTGTTGGGCCGTCAGAGGCAGAGGACACACCCCAGACCAAGGTTTTAATAAAGGCTGTTAATAAAGGTTAAAGGATGAAGTCTTGAGTCAGTGGGGCAGTGAATGGAAATCCTTTCATTTAGATAATAAAAAAAAAGTCTAGAGAAGGTAAGAGGAAATTGTTTAGATAACAAGGGTGGAGAGAAGGGGAAAAAAGACAAAAATGAAAAATAAAGCCAACAGGAAACTCACCTTCTTGTTATTCTTTCTGTTGAACATTTGACAGCTTTCTCGTACATTAACCGCAAGTTAGCATACAAGGTTGAACTATAAATCTTATTATGCAAAATTAAAAACCTTAAATAAACAAGGGATCTTAAAGCCAACAGGATAAAGTTCAAACATGTAACTAATTTATCCCTTTCAGTTAAAGACTGGAGAAATGTGGTCTACACATAACGCTGACCCATTACTGATTAGAGATAGTAGCAAATAGAACTATGCATTTTGCGCCTTTTTTTCAAGAGGCCACAAAAATTGTGAAATTTTTACATTTGTTCTTTTAAACTAAATAGAAGATTTCTCCAGTGAATGCTTCTTGGGCTGAAGATCTTTTATAATTGCAAATACTCAGCATCCATACTTTATTGGTTACTTAAGTCACGTAGCACTGTAACACGTGCATTATTATTGGCCGGTTATGCAATTTGAAATGTGTTATGTAACAATATTCAGGAATTTGAGTTTATAATGACCGTACTTGTAAAGCTTATTTGCTAGACTATTCATGGAAAGATAATCAGAAAAACAGAGGGGATCATTTAAAAAAGGCAATTGAAAATATAATTTTTGGCAGTATTTTTCTCAGCTCTAGTGCTAATTCTCTCGTGGCATTTTCGTTCTCTAAAGTCATATAAAAATCACATTTCCATTCTTCTTTATGTCTCAACCCAAGAAAGCATTAGAGAGGCTTAACTTTTAAGCAAATGAGTTGTCTCACTGATGTGCTTAAGGACAAGATTTGGTTTGGCCACGCAAGAGATTTAAGTGGAATTAGGTGCCTAAGATCCAAATAGTGACCAAAACTGACTTCACACCAGCTGCCACAAAACTGAATAGGTACCTAACTTCAGATTAGTTAGGTACCTATTCAGGTAACTTCAGATTAGTTCAGGTAACTTCAGATTAGTTAGGTACCTATTCAAATTTTGGGTGGCAAAGTTCCCTAAGGGCCTACCTTTGGGCTCTTGTGTATGCTTGGAAGCAATCCAGTTTGATCCCATAGTTTCATAGTTTCTAGGGTCAGAAGGGACCTGAGTAGATCATCTAGTCCGACCCCCTGCCATGACAGGAAAGAGTACTGGGGTCAAATGACCCCAGCAAGGTGTACATCTAACCTCCTTTTAAAGACCCCCAGGGTAGGAGCCAGCACCACTTCTCTTGGAAGTTGGTTCCAGACCCTAGCCACCCTGACCGTGAA